GTGTTACCTTGAAAGGCGGTCCTGGCTGTTTTCTCCTAGTTGTCCTGCTGTGGACACAGGAGCTGTATGGTTGCTCAGCTAGCGTCTTAGAGAAGCCGCCCTCCAGTGTGTAGAACCAGAGATCTTTAAATGGTGGGCGCCTCAACATCACTTCTGGTGTGCATGCATCCTGGAAGTTGCACCTTCAGATTTATAAGGATTTAGAGTCCTGCATCACTGGCACTTAACAGCTGTTTTTTGGGGGTTTGTTTTTAAGTAATGTATTATATTTTGGGTTTTAAGAAACCACATCTGGCAGCTTAATATTTTGAATTTTTGGAGAATATTTTGAAAAGTTGGAGAATCCGAAGGGAGAATCTAGTGGTTTTAGAACAATTTTATGGAAGGAAATGCTTGGCCCCTTCTGATACTGAAGCACAGAGATGTGCTATTGCTTTGCACGTATCCAGGGTGTGCTTAACTAATAGGAGTGTAATGAAGTTCTCGCAGTGTGTTTCCTGGATCCCTGGGGCTGTCACAGCTCTGCGTGGTACCAGTGATGTTGTCAGCCTTCTCACGGAGTGGACATCTGCAGTGGCCTGCAGAAGCTGGTCCAGACAGTGGCATTTCCCTGTACGATGTGCTGTCCACTGCTCAGCACCAGTCGGTCATGTAAAATTTGCCATTTCCCCCGAGAACATCCTTGGAGAGACAGCAAAGACTTCGTTAGCGCAGTTGAACCTCACCACTCCAGTGTCCCGTCCCGTTGCTTTAAATTCCCTGTAATGAAATGGCAAGTATCTATGAAGCACTTCTGTACCCCAAAGCAGGGTGGCTCTCCAGGAGGAGCCCTGTGCCAAACCTGCTACCCTCTCATGGAACACCCTTTGTGCTGAAAAGAATGGACAGGCTCCAGTTTTCAGACCCAGTATTTGGCAGGCATTTTCTCAGAGAGGAATGACCTGAGTTTCAGGGAAAGCAGCTGACAGTATTCCTTGCTAATGATAAAATTTGAGCTTTCAGGTGAAAATTACAATTTTGAAAAGTTCACATCTGCAGTCATGGGGTTGATGGCTTTCCAGTGACTAAAGACATTTGTGGGGTGCCCTGGTGCCTCCCAACGGGTCAGTTAAGCGTCTGCCTTTGGCTCAGGTCATGATCCCTGCTTCTTCCACTCCCTCTGCCCCTTCCCCCACTCGTGCTGTCTCACTTGGTCTCTCTCTCAAAATCTTTTAAAAAGAAAAAAAAGGACATTTGAGGAGGTGGGTGCCGGCATTAACGACTGTGTGTCTTCTGTGTTGTGGTGAAGTGTGCTGACATGTGGACTCTGCGTCAGTCAGTAACGTGACCACCACGCATGGGTAAAATGGTGCGTTCCGAGGGTGTGCAGGACAGACTGGTGGCTTCCCCATCGGAAAGCGCAGTCAGGTCTCAGGCTTCATGTTGCAGCTTTCCTTAGGAAACTACTATTTGTTGAATTTCGGCCTGATGTCAAAGAACATCCACAGTTACCTGAAAACTTTCTCAGTTTTAATTGCGAAAATACTGATCTATTCCACATAAACAGAAGCTTTTTGGAGCCCTCCGTTTTTAAGAGTATAAAGGAGCCCTGAGAGCGGAACATTTGAAAGGCTGTGCCTGTTCCTAAATTTCTTCCTGGCCATATGCTTGTGCTGTGAGCAGAGCAATTGGGAGGCTCTGGCTTGTGTGTGCGTCTTTAGATGTGAGCTTCCACAGCGTTCGTCCAACTTCAGGTTAGTGGGAAATGGAGCACTTTGCAGCTGAGAAAAAATACTGCACTGAGAAATGTAGAAACATAATTTTACATTATTTCAGTGCATTCCTTGCTCATAGATTGTTCTTGTGCTCATGGTTTCAGGGATGGTCACCTTCCTTTTCCTTCCCGGGGAAAGCGCTTCTTACCACATTGTGATTGCAGGTTCCTGAGCATATCCTTCCTGCCGCGCACTGTGTGGTGTACAACCACACACCACATCCAAGTTTTGTTAGGGACTCAACATGAGTTTTTGTTCTTTTGTCTTGATACACACCCTTTTGTTGAATTGCTGAAATTTTTATTAGAATTTCAATATTGAAGAAATTATCAAAACATCAATTTTGCAAAGATAAAGTCGAGATAAATGAATCAGATGATCTAAAATGATTAGCTCTATTCTGAGTATACTGTATGTCATCCCACACACAGAAATAACTAGATTTTCCATTTTCCTTTTTTAAAAATTGATTATTCAGAACTCAAATCCAGAAATGTGTTTATTTCTCAGGTTAATGTGTATTTAAATTTTTCATTCCTAAGTACGTTTTAATTTCTTTGCTTTTATAAATGCACAATGTTATGAAATATAAAAATAAAGTTTATTTTTAGTTTCTTCTGAGAAGTAAAGGCATCTGAACGTTTAAGCCTTGATTTGAGATGCATTTACCACATTTGAGAGATTTGGTGGCCATGATGGTGGATTTGGCTAATCAGAGTGGAATGGACGCTGTCTCTTTAAGAGGAGCCGCCTCAGAATGTTTGTCTTTGTTCTGGGGTCACTAAGGAGACCACAGCTGTAGTACCCACCCAGTGGGCAAGGGAGGTGGAGGTGAGGGCTCAGCTTGGGAGGGGCTTGGGGAGGGGCACTCAGGGCCAGAGTGTGAAACGTGAAAAGATCAGTGTGGAGGATTTATCCAGGAACAGACGCCTGCCTGTTCAGTGTGCGTTTCAACTAGGTATGGTTTTTGCAGGACTATAATCTAGGAGAACTGTTTTTTAAATTCATGTAGATGAAATGTAGCACATCGATGTTAAGTAATTATTAGTCTTCTGAAATCTTTTTTGGGCTTTTAACTAAATGATGGCATATCTCCACTATTAAGAATTTTTAAATACTTCTCTTCGTGGATGATTTTGTTCAGCCTTTTCATGTTTTGTGTTTCTATGTTTGGCTTTATCGAGCTGAGCCCGTCTCAAAAGTAGGATCATAATTGGAAAGCAGCTGATACCCAGCGACTGGTTTTGAAACCGCCATGCGGCTGAGGCCTCTGCACAGTTAGCGGCAGCTCTCCCCCCCCCGCCCCCAAACACACACCTGCCAGTACCTGCAGCCCCTCAGTGGCCCAGCCTGGCCACCTTCTGTTAGGGTGCAGTCACAGTGCCTTCCCTTCTGCAGAAGGGAAATTTCTTAAAGAAGGGGACTATGTTCTTTCCTTTTCTTTTTTTTTTCTGACTCTCCGAGTGGGCCACATGATAACTAACATACGCTCAAGTAATAGATTTCTTGGAAAGTCTGATGTCTTTTTTTTTTATACGGTTATTTGAATCTATAAATGATTTTTTTATTTTCTTTTAGGAGCTTACTCTGTGGGAACAGTCCTGAGATGATCTTTATTGTTACCTGTGAGCAGTGACTGACGGCAGCGGTGTCTGAGGTGGGCTGTGTTTGTGGACCAGGCGATTCCATCGTCAGGCACTTGGACCTCTGGAAAAGGTGTCCAAGCTTTCAGTGTCGGGGCAGGTAATGCAGCACCAGTGGCAACATCAGCAACACGGTTTTCTCTTAATAGGTTTGAAATTGTGTGTTCTATTTTTGAAGTGTCATTTTATGTGACAAACATGCGGTGTAATGTTCATATTTGTTTATTTAGAATATTCTAAACTTTAGCCCTAAGTGTTTAGACGAGTGTTCAGCCACATGCTGAGAATTTTTACGCAAGGCACGCTTATTTTTCCATTGGCATTTTATTGGTGCGAGTACTTGACGTTGTATACTCTCTTCTGTGAGAGCTATGTTTTGTTGAGGAGAGTTCTTCCTGCACAAAATCTCAGGACCAGAAAAGTGGTGTGGTCCTTGCTGGCACACATGCTGATGTTCCAGCTACTCCCGTAAGCTTCCGAATGGCCTGGGAGCATGCTGGCCAGGCTCTGGAGGGAAGGGTTGGTCAAGCCAGCAGGAAAATGGGGGACAGCACGTCATGGGAAATAAAAAACAAGAACAGTCTGGTTGCGTGTGGTTTTGAATTTTGTGTATTTTGTATTTTGAAGGTTTTCACCCCATCACAGTCCTTGCCCTACGACGGAATGTGGCGTAAAGGCTGAATCAGCATTAGTGTTTCAATGCAATTGAAGCCTGGCTAGCTTTGAAAAAAATTTTCAAGGTATATACTGCCTTTTTCAGGTTTGAAACAAGAGTTGAGTTTTCACAAGCATGATCCTTTAATAGTCTGTCAGAAAGTGAGAAAGAACAAATGCACATAAAGCTATTCCCCATCATTATTTTCTGAAGTGGCCAAGTTACCTGTTGCTGCGTAACAGCTAACCCCAGAGTCGGGGCTCAGGAATCTGGGCAAGGCTTAGCTGGGTGATCCTTATCTCCACAAGGTGTCCATAGGGGACACTTGCACTCGACTCGCAGCAGGGCTGGGGTGCGGGGTGCCGTTTTCTCTAGCAGGGTGGTCGGACCACTTAGTAACTCGGGGCTCCTCAGCCCAGGATGGAAGCAGCCAGTCCTCCTCTGCACCAGGCCTCGAGCCACCCTGGCACTCCACCCTCTCTGCCCAGGGTGTTGGGCGGGGACAGGTGCGCGGCGCCTCCCGGCACTGCAGCCCTGCTCTCCTCACGCCCTTGCACCGTGTATGCTGTTCACCGTTGGACAGGGCTTCCCTGACCCCCTTTGTGGTGGAGCCCTGTGCTGAGCAGCGAAGTGCTGGAGGGGGGACGGGTTTGAGTTGCTGGCTGCAGGTGTGCACTGAGCGTTAGATGGGTGACTGTTGAGGCTTCTGTCTGGAGTCCCCTCAGATCTTCTCTCATGCTACCTTTTAGGAAACCTTGATCAAGATAACTCATTTGAATGTTCACCTTCACTTCGTGTAGGTAGAAAATCGTTGTTCATCCATGGCCATGCTCCCTCCTTTGTGTGAGTTAAAGGCTGCGTGTACTTGTAGCTCAGGGATTGTTAATTATTTGCTAAGTGTCGCCTCGTTAACATTGCTCATGGTGTGGTTCCATTTCACCGTCAGGTATGGATGAGAAAGGTGACCCGAGCAATGACGAAGTGCCCAAGGCCATCAAGCCCACCAGCAAAGAATTCAGGAAAACATGGGGCTTTCGAAGAACCACCATTGCCAAGCGAGAGGGCGCTGGGGACGCCGAGGCTGACTGTCTAGAGCGGCAGCCCCAGCAGCAGCAGAGCCTGTCCTTGCGCCGCAGCGGGAGGCAGCCGAAGCGGACCGAGCGGGTGGAAGAATTTCTTACGACGGTCCGACGACGAGGGAGGAAGAATGCGCCTGCCTCGCTCGAGGATTCTGGTGAACCAGCGTCTTGTCCCGTCACAGACGTGGAGACGGCGTCCGAAGGCAGCGTGGAGAGCACCTCTGAGGGGAAGGGCGGGCCCACGGCGGGCTCCGCGGGTGACAAGGGACGGCCTGCCGCCTCCGCAAAGGCCAAAGGGGGTGAGGACGAGGACGACACCTCTGACAGTGACAGCGACGGGCTGACTTTGAAGGAACTGCAGAACCGCCTGCGAAGACAGCGGGAGCAAGAGGCGGCCGGCAGGCCCCCCAAGAGCCTCCAGAGCCGCCTGAGGAGGAAGCGCCGGGAGCAGGATCCCCCGCAGACCGTGGACGTGGAGGCAGGCGGTGCCACGGAGAGCGTGCTGCCCCGCACGCAGGAGCCCGAGGCTGAGCAGGGTGCGGTGTCCCAGGCCGAGAAAGACTGTGGAGAGAGGGAGCTGGAAGGGAAGGCTCAGGGAGCCGGAGACCCTGGGGACGTGGGCCGGCAGAAGCCCGAGTGTGAGGCCTATGAGCCCAACGCTCTGTACTGCATATGTCGTCAGCCGCACAACAACAGGTAGGCCACAGCCTGGGGCGTGCTGGGGGCCCCCAGCTTCCAGAGAGACCCAGGCCGTGAAAACAGCAAGGGAAGGTGCTGTTCGTTTTGAGGGCATGCGTTCTAGAGCTGGGCTGCCTGAGTAACTTCGGGAGTTGGAAAGGATGGAAGAGGCGTTGATGAAAAAAGAAGCCACAGAAGGGTAGCCGTATGACCTCCTGTAGCCGTATTGGGCTCCCCGCTGCCACGGGGGGGGGGGGGGTGAGACAGCACAGACCGAGGCGCTCCCATCCTCCTGGGGGTCTCCTGCCTAGCGTCGCTCCAGACTGTCCTGGAGGAGCGCCCATGAGCAAGCGGGCTGTGACCGGGCTCCAGTTTGAGCATCTAGAGCCTGTCTGGGTGCTGGGTGGTATTGGGGAGCTACCGCCTGGGGTGTTTGCGGGACAGAGGGATGTGCTGGTCTGTGCAGACGAGTGCTGGTCGGCCTGCAGCTCCCTCTCAGAGTGCTCCCTTCGGGAAAAAAACACAAATTTGTTTGAATGCTAATAAAGTCAAGAGAAGAGCTTTTGAATGTTCTTCATTCTGTTCTCAATTTTTTTTTTATTTTGCTTTTTTTCATAATGAGTTAAAACCAGTTCCCCAGTTCAGCTTTTAATATTCCTAAGATTGTTAATCGTGTTTTCCATTCTTAATGCCGGTGTTTTATAATTTTAGGTTTATGATTTGCTGTGACCGATGTGAAGAATGGTTTCACGGCGATTGTGTGGGCATCTCTGAGGCCCGGGGACGGCTTCTAGAAAGGAACGGCGAAGACTACATCTGCCCAAACTGCACCATTCTGCAGGTGCAGGACGAGCCGGACTCAGGAAGCGCGGTGCAGCAGGAGGCCAAGTGCGGGCCGGCGGGCGCCGACGGCACCGACTGCACGAGCATAGGGACAGTAGAGCACAGGTGCGGCGAGGACCAGGGGATCAAGGGCAGGATCGAGAAGGCTGCGAACCCCAGCGGCAAGAAGAAGCTGAAGATATTCCAGCCCGTGAGTACTCAGATGCGAGGCCAGCGACAGGGTCAGCGGAAGAGTCCAGCCCCGAGAGTCCGTTTCTCTTTGGGAGCAGGTTAGGTTCTTCCCTCCAGATGGCCTCGTGTTTGCTGCGGGCCGGACTCTGGCAGCAGGCCGTCCCCTGCACCTGGCTTCCTGGGCCTCCCCCACCCCGCAGTCCTGCAGCGCACCACGAGGGACCTTCCTTTGTTTTGTTTTGTTTTTAAAAGGCTTTTTATTTATTTGACAGAGAGCGCACAATCGGGGGGCGGGGGGCGGGTGGTAGGCAGAGGGAGAAGCAGGCTCCCCGCTGAGCAAGGAGCCCGACCCCAGGACCCGGGGTCATGACCTGAGGCAAAGGCAGTCGTCCAACTGACTGAGCCACCTGGGCATCCCGGGACCTTTCTTTCTTTAAGTCTTATCTGCTTCCAGTAGTATTAGTACCGAGTTAATGTTCTCCTTAAATGGACTCATTTTTTAGTTTTTCCTTAAATATTCTTTTTGGAATGTCGACCTTCACATACACACATATTAACAAAGGAAGTACACGTTTGACCTGACCCATCATCCTGAGAGAGCTGGTGCTCTGAGCCTCCCGGGACAGGGGGGCTGGGCGGGGGACACACCACTTCATCTCTGGCATCCAAGGCATCTCCCACAGCTGCTGCTGGTGTCACCCTCTGGAACGGTCTCAGGCGCGCTCTGGTAGGGCCATGGTTCTTTGTTGCATCTCTCCTGTGTCGTCAGCTTCTTATGTTGAGGAACACTGTCACAGGCTCTCATGAGCATGTCCCCCTGGCCCTTCCTGAGTCCCTAGACAGCCTTGAAGTGGAGGCCTGTGCTTTAGCAGGCACTGGGCGTACAGGAGCTTTGAGGGCTGTGGGAGCCTCGAGGTGGAAGTGCTGTGAGGTCCAGACCATTGAAGCAGTAGCCTGGAGATGTCAGGAGGTACTGCGTGGGGATGTGATGTTCAGTGTTTGTATCGCGTTTGGTCATTAAGAAAAATTAGTGGAAATGGGACAATGGGAAAAGTCACCTTAATTTCATGTCTTTATTTTTGATGTTTGAGGCTGCATGAGGTTAGATTTTATTTTTGGTAAGATTTGGATTTTGTGGAAGAAGAGCAGTTTCAGAATACCTTGGAGAAATAAGATTTGGCTCAAGTACATTTGAGGGATAAGTTAGGTCTCTTTAGATCTCTCTTGCTGCATAACAAGTGAGCATGTCTTAGCAGCCTCACACAACACGTATTTATTAGCTCAGCTTCCATGGGTCCAAAGCCTGGGCCTGGCTTAGCCGGGTCTCTCCATGGTTTCTTAAGAGATGGCACCCAGGTGCCATTGTAGGCTGGGGTCTCATCAGATGGCTCGGTTGGGGAGGAATCTACTTCTGAAAGGCTCCAGTGGTCTTGTGTCTAAATGTGCCCTGTGCCATGTCTGGGGCTCAGCGGTGCTAAAAGTCACCCGTGTTTTTCTGAGATGGACATTGAATGGGTGTTCCTGGATTGCGTCTGGTAGCTCACCCTCAGACCCTTGCCCCCGGAGCTCTCTCGCAAGGCTATTTGCTTCTTCAAAATCAGCAGTGGAGTCTTTTCTCTATTGCAAGGCCCAGTCCCTCTTCTGACATTTTCTGTTGATGAAGCAGACCCTTTCCATAGCTCAGAATTGTCTCATTTGGAACCTTGATTACATCTGCAGAACTCCCTGTTTGCCCTGCAATGGAACCTAATTATGGATGTGAAACCCCATTGTGTTGAAAAGTCCCCAGAGCCTGTGTGCCAGAGCAGAATCCTAGGGCCGCCTCCCAACTCTGCCCGCCACAGGTTGCGTGAAGTGTAGTTACTGTGAGTGCCTTGCCATGGGATAGAAACAAAGACATGTTTTTATTGGTATTAAAAATGCTGTTAGTGTCTCCATTAGAACTAGCGAGGCCAGTAGTGTAAATAGGAATTGTACGAAGTACTGTAACTGCTCGAGTTGGTAAGTATGTTGTTTGAAGCCACGTGTTTTGTTCTGCAGGTTGCAGAGGCTCCTGGTGCCTCAAAGTGTATTGGCCCTGGGTGCTCTAACTTGGCGCAGCCTGACTCGGTTTACTGCAGCAGCGACTGTATTCTCAAACATGCTGCTGCTACAATGAGATTTCTAAGTTCAGGTAAAGAACAAAAACCAAAACCGAAAGAAAAGACCAAGACGAAGCCAGAAAAGCTCATTCTCCCGAAATGTAGCGTTCAGGTAAGTTGATCAAGTCCAGCCGTTTGAATTGTTGCAGTGAGAGGGGCCTGCATGTTGCACCAGGTGCAGTTGATTGGTTTGTGGTGCGTGGGGGACAGCAGGCACAGACGGAGCGCCGGTGGTACCCGCCCACTCCTCCAGCCTTCCACACTTTCCCTGTCAGAGTTCCACGCAGGCGTGCACTCTCATGCTGCCCCCGCTCTCATGGAGGGCGTCGTTCGTGCTGACCGCAGTGCGGCAGGCGAGGGAGCCGAGCCTTCCCTCCGGGACCCACAGTCCTGGGAGAAGAGCTGGGGTTTGTCAGAAATTTGCAAGCCGCCGAGGGTGGGGGATGGGTCTTGGGTGGCCAGACTGTGTGCCTCGCCTCGAAACCTAGCTCGCAGAACTCTCTCCTGTGCTAAGTGTGACCTGGGAAGTCTCTTGTTTGACCCTCGAGGCCCTCACCCAGAGTTTCAGCTCAGGTTGGTGTGGCTGCGTTGCAGCCCCCATTACATCTGTGATGAGCAAGGCGTTAAGCGGTGCTGCTCGGGAAGTCCTCTCCAGGTTTTTCTGCGCTTGCTTGGCCTTTAGATGGCATAACTTTTACGGCTGGTGATTCTGAGTTCCAGGACTCCCAGAGCAGCAGTTGCTGCTGTGCAGAGTACTGTGGCGACCATGCCGAGCGCCGGGCAGAGGCGGTGGGACACTGTGTTCCTCCAGTCTCCCAGTGGCCACAAAGCTTGCCTGGCACCCAGGTCCTTGTTTGTGTCCATCCCTCCGCATCTCTTGGATGTGCGAATGTAGCCCAGCCCTGCTGTTGAGCAGATGCTGAGCCCAAGGTCAGGGTGGTGAGGGGCTTCAAATGAGCCCAACTATAGAGCGTATTGTGACCTTCGTTGTGAAGCGTGAGGAGCGAAGGCTTCTCTCTGGCCTCCTTAATGATTGGGGTTTTGCTGGTTATCCAGGCAGGCATTAGAATCTCTGCTATGCACAAGAGACCGGCTCCAGACAAGAAAGAGAACACCGTGAAGAAGGCAATGGTGGCCCCGTCGAGGAGTGAGGTCCTCATGAAGGAAACGACCAGTGAAGGCACGCCGTCCTGGGCAAGCGACCACAATTACAATGCAGTAAAGCCAGAACAGACTGCTGCCCTCTGGCCGCCACTGTTGTATAAATGTATGTATCACCTAGGGGTAACGTCTGGACCCTTCCTGGTGTTTCTGGACAGCCGTCACTCAGGCCTGTTCAGGACCAGGAGCTCTAGCCATATTTAATGCTGCACCTGCAAAGACAGAAGCAGATGCCTGAGCCCCACGTACCTCGAGCCCTGTGCACCTCCTCAGTCTGTTGGCCCTTCCTGTCAGTTCAAACCTCAAAAAGCTGTACAAACCTCATTGGTAAATGTCTCACCTGGCAACCAATCTCTTTAATCTCCTTAATTTTCATTGTTGTGCTCTGGTAAGTATCTGTGTGGTCTTTGGTGAGGTCACACTGGGTAGACGTGCTCCTGGCATCCAGACTCTGGCCGCACGGCCCTTGCAGGCTTGTCTTGGCCCCACTGGCTTAGGAGTCTCTCCACCTCGTCTGCTGTCCGCACAGGGAGGCCTCACTTTCCTCTTACGGGAATCCACTTCTGCAGATAGTATCGCCTGATACTCAAGTGTGATTTTTCAGGAATTACATTATTTTTGATCCAACAGGAATTTTTTTTGTGTGCAATTCAAATACTACACACACACTCACACACACACAGACATTCAAGTTTTGAAGGCTGTTTACTGCTGCTCCATATGCTCCAAGGTAAGTGAGTGTGATGTGTTGGCCCTTGGGGCAGTGCCCTCCCTAAAGGGAGAGTGCCCGCAGTAACTGGGACCTGACCCTCTCCTGGAGGCTTGCACTGTCGCATGGGGACCTGCTCTAGATCATGCAGCTGGGTCTTTTCTCTCCATTCTGGCTTCTCAGCCATGCAGTCCAAAATTAAATTTGGAAGTTTAAATTGATCCATAGGATACACTTTACTGTTACTAAGATTATTTTCACTCAGTTTTAAATCATGTTGTATTTTATGTTGTTTTGTGCCTTTTACAAAAGTACCAAAAGCCATGTAGCTTTAAATGCCAAGACCGTAGGCGTGTGCTGCCCTCTCCTGCGGCCACGCGATCCCGCAGGTCCGTACTAGAGCTGACGGGGTTGGGAAAGTACGAGGGTGACCCCAAACCTGTGGGAGGTGGGTGCGGTGGGGGAAGTTAGGAGGGAGCTCTTCCATCATGGGATTAGCTGATTGCTGTATTAAAATGAGTCCCTGCTACACCTTAGGTGGTTTGAGCTATTTCATGCTAACAGCACGTCTCAGATCTTCAACAAAGCACTTTTACAAGTCATGCACATACCTGAGAGTAAGCATCGCGGACCAGTGAGCACTCGGGGGGCAGGAGGGAGCTGTCGCTTTGGAATACTGTGCTCCAGTGCTCTGCGTCGGTCATAGGCCAACATAACAGAATGAAACGGTGGGGCGACCACAGAAGCCCTGGGTGGCCGGCTTCAGTACAGTGCTCCATCTCTACCAGCAGACTGGGAAAGCTGCCTCGAGGCTCCCAGTGTGCATGCGGAGGGTGGGGACCTGGACGGCTCCTGTCCCTGGGTTCTTTCCCCTCACTCCATCTTTGAGGGCGAGGGAGGCCCAGGAGAAGGCCTACTTCTCAGCTCCTCTTCACCCCTGCCTGCTCTTTTCTGCACATCAGTCAGCTCCTCACTGAAGCTCGACCTGCTTCAGTTGACAGAAGGCTGGGACAGATGACTGATGGCCCTTTTCAGCACATTTACATCTCAAAATTAAAGCTGATGGAGACCCAAAATGTAATAGCATGCATAAGGGACATATTTTTGAGCTAGTTGCTTCTGATCCTTTTTTGTTATCTCAGAAATGTCATCTTCCAGTCACTGGTAAAATACCCGACTTCAGCCTCGGTGAGTAGCAGCCTCGCCCCCAAACCATCACTTCACAGTTGGGGTATCAGGTAGCTTGCACACACACAGCAGAACCCTCTGACCCCAAAAGGACCCCCATCTGCCTTTCTGGCTGGCTGCAGAGCATGTTTTTCTGGGTTGGGGTGGCTAGATTTGGAGTACAGCTGGTATTGCCGTGGTTAGAAGTGTTCCCACATTGACCTGGGTACATGTCACGTCTGTGGGTACATCCCCCATTCCGCCCATAGTGGCCACTGCTGAGGGAGTGACACACAGCTTGGGAGGTGCCCTGGGCTTCCCTCTCCTCCCCAGGCCACTGCTGCTGACCTTAGGTCATGGGTAGGGACAGCTGTCCGTGAACAGGGTGTGAGGGGACTTCCCATTAAACAGGGACTTGGAATCTCTATCTGCTTCTCCCCACGAAAGGATCAGCAGATGCTTTGTGTCCTCCAGGTGCTGGAATTCACAGATCGCAGTTCTCCCTAGTTCCCGTATGGCTGCTTTTCACGTATAGTAGCCACTGCCGCTTTATTTACTTCCCTAAATCATCATGTTTCTTTGTTTTGATAACCTTATTTTTTTCTGTTCTTTTTCAATGTTGGGTCAACCTCCCACTGTTGTCAAGGCATGAAGAGGGCTGAAAACTTTTTTCTAAAATGTCCCTGACTCATTAGCGTTTGGAAGTGGAATTCTGATACTCATAGGCATAATCCCTGGTATCTGGGACCCCTTAAATGGCTCAGGGGACTTAAAACACGGGGATTCTGAACAGATTTTGATTGGAAAATGAGATTTCTACAGTTTCATCTAGCTTTGAGAATTAGAATGCAAAACCCTAACAACTTATACACCCAGGCTTAGATGATTTGGTAAAGCAATCTGATGCAGATAGAAGCATTTCTCCTCTAAGTTCACGGGCATGCCACACAGATGGTTCACCTGCTTGTGAAACGGAACAAGGAGAACACGGATTGTCACGAGGATAACTAGAGGCGTGGGCTCCAGAGACACGCTTCCGAAGTCCTAAGTGGAAACCAGTTTCCTATAATAAATATGTGGGGGATACTAGGACCCAGGAATATTTTGTAGAAATGTAAATCCTTGGGTGTGCGCAGTTACAGATTTTAGCAGTTAATGTGAGCCATCTTTAATCTGTCTATTCCAGAGTTGTCATTGGCAATAAAATGTGGTTGGGGACAAATCAGACCTGGTACATCTGAACCAAGGTTCTCTCCCCCAGTTAGAGGGAAATCCCAAACATGTACTGATGAAGGGTGATGTAGCTTGACAACTCTTGATGCTCTCTGTACGACTGGAATTTCCTTGCTGCTCAGAGATACTCTTGGTATTTCAGACTTTGACTTTTCACAAGCTTAAAAAAAAACCCTGGTTAACTTCAGAAAATTAGGTCGGGGAGAGGTTTCACGTGTACACAGACTTGAACGTTGGAGATAAAACTGCCAGTTGTGCCCAGTGCTGCCCCCTTAGTCGGGCTGCAGCCCCTGGAAGTTTCCAGCAGGATTGGCCTCACTCCACCTGCCCTCCAGTGAGCTTCGTGTGACCTTGGGGAACTGTGGGTCTACTCTGATGTCTAAAGACAGATGCTATGGGGCAGTCCCTTTGGTGGTGTCTGTGTTCTAGAGTCCATGGTTCTCTGCGACGATGCCACCGTAACGCCTCCAATATGGCACACGAGTTTCAGGGGCATTTGCATTAAGTTGGAGCATTCTTGATTTGAAGTGTGACGATGCGTCCCCGTGCACATAGCTATATTTGCTCCCGCAAACCAAAGAAGTTTTGCTGAAATGAAGGCTGGGCCCTCTTCTGGTGCCAAGAACCTGGAGAAGTTCAGCCAGAAGCACGCAAAGGTAACTGCTGCAGAGCCCCAACTCTGGTCTGCACAGGGCCAGCAGCCTTGGGCTTTTCTGCGCAATGGGACCCTTTGGGACAAGGGATGGACGGAAGGGTCAGTGGGCTCTCTAACATGCCCCCAGCCCCCTAGGTGGGTTGGGTGAACTAGTAGACAATTTGGGTACAAACGATACTGGTTAAAATCTCACTAAAACCACGGTCATGCCTGTTAACCAGTTTGAGAGATTGCAGGAAAGCAGCCGCTCCACTCCCAAGTGAGTGTCGGGCCCGGTGTCCAGTCCTGCACGCACAGTGGGCCGCTCACCTGATCCCAGTCATGTAGTCGAGAGGAGCGAGGCACCCGTCTCCCCACATGGCCTCAATCCCATTTTGTCTGGTTCATGTGGTGGAAGCACAGTCTGACCGGTTCTGTTATAGATGACCCATCCAGCCTGAATCAGGCTTTGGGTTCATTTTCAAAATAAAATGTGTGCAACTATTAAATGAGGAAGGGTGACTTGCTTCCCCAGGTATATACTTTTTTTTTTTTTTGGGGTTTTTTTGCCTTTTTTTTTTTTTTTTTTTTTTACAAGTGGCGAGTTCTGTGTGTCTCCGTTGAGGTGTAAGTCACTCAAATATTGGACATCAGGAAGAAAAAAGCCTAGAAAAGCTTTGTGGAGTCCAAGCCATGACAGTTTGCCTGGGGATCTTCATAAAGACGTCCTTAAGATGATGTCTAGTCTGAAGAGCATCAGGAATGTAGCTTATGCTTTTTTGAGTGTTAATTTAGGAATTATACATGTTTTCTGATATAAAAGCAAATTGGTACTTGGTTATGCTTCCAGGAAAACTCACTTTAAAATATTCAAGCAAGGGCACAAAAAGCAAAATGGTTTTCTCTTGCTACTGTTAATTTGACTTTTCACACCAGGAGAGATCTTGCCGGTCAGCATGGAAGTGGGAAACTTCGTTACGCACGTGTCCCGCTGAGCTGAGTGTAGAACTGCCGCCCCAGCCAGCAGAACGCACGGCACAGCGCCCCACTGTGTGCCCTCTGAGCCCTGGCCTGGCCTTTCCTGCGGTAGAGCCCGTGGGGCAGTGTCTGCCTGCTCTCGGCTGCCCAGCGCATTTGGGACCCAGTGGGAGTGGGGGGCACATGGAGGTCGCTGGCGGTGGGAATCGGGCCGAGTTTTGGAGCCACTGGGGAGGGAACACGTGTGGTGTCTCAGTTGGGACCTTTGGGGACTCACCTGCACCGTGGACACACCCATACCTGAACCCTTGTCACACCAGTTCACTGTTCTTTTTTTGGCTATTACAGCCAGTCATTGAGTGAGCCCACCTGAGACCAGTGTGACCCATCTGGGGATTTTTTAGGGTAAACTGGTACTAGCTTGGGCAGGACCAGAGCACAGAAGGTTTGGAGCAATTTGCCGCCGCCCTGAGGGTTTCTCACGGGTCCCTGTAAAGGGCCGTCTCCAGACGTGGGTGTCTGGGGCTGCTGGGCTGTGCGAGCTGTAGCCTCACCTGGGCAGCTGCCACTTCCTCGGGTGGAGACCTGGGCTCCCGGCTCCGCGGAGGCCCGCCATTGCCACCCAGTG